GGAAGACTGCCATGTTTTATGAAGTCCACTATTGGATCCATCTACGATGGCTCATTATCAATATCCATGACGCCTATGGTTTGATTGATGCTTGGCTAGGTTACAATTCTAACGTGGACTGTCCTGTCAAACCCATCTATTCCCATGAACACCAATCTTGACAAGGATCAGCCTTACAATTCTCAGCTCGAGTAATTTTCACAATTTCACGCCTCTTGAAATTTCTCTGGAGATCATGCACTTTCAAGCAGTATAAGCTCATTTTCTCGTCCTTCCTATCGAACGTCCCTTCGATTTGTCCAACCACCAACTGGGAATCACTGTAAATTTTGATATTTTCAAGCTCGAGATTTATGGCGAGTTCCATGGCTATGATGACGGCCTCATACTCTGCTTCATTATTGGTCGCCTCAAATTCGAACCTGAGTGCGCACTGAATGTTTATGAGCATGTCCGGGCTTATGATTATGACTCCTGCGCTTGAGCCTGAGGAGTTTGATGCTCTATCTACGAAAATTTGCAACATACCAGTGGTCGAGCTCGAGCTAACATCTGGACCCCGAGGCCTTGAGGTGAGTTTTGCAATGAAATCAGCTAAGGCCTGAGCTTTGATAGATGGACGGGGCTTGAACTATATGTCAAATTCTCCGAGTTCAATTGCTCACCTCAGTAATCTTCCTGAGATGTCTGGTTTCTAAAGAATGTGTTTTAGAGGCTGATTGGTGAGCACTACAATAGGATGTGACTGAAAATATTGTCGAAGTTTTCGTACTGCCACTATCAGTGCAAGGACAAGCTGTTCTGCCAAAGTGTATCTTGTTTTTGCATCAAGTAGGACTTTGCTTATGTAATAAATGGGTTGCTGGGCCCTATTAACCTCTTTTACCAAGACACCACTCACTGCATTCTGAGATACGGCTAAGTATAAATACAGAGTATCCTTGGGCTCGGGTTTGGTGAGGATAGGAGGAGATTTCAATGTCTGCTTGAGCTCTTGAAAAACCTTCTCAAACTCCTCATCCCATTCAAAGCAATGATTACCCCTAAGAGCTTTGAAGACGGGGAAGCACCTGTCTTCTGCTCGGGACATGAACCTGTTTAAGGCAGCTACCCTGCCTGTCAACTTTTGAACTTCTTTCTTGGTCCTTGGTGATTCCATTGCTGCCAGAGCCTGAATCTTGTCGGGGTTCGCCTCAATCCCCCGATGAGTGATCATGAAACCCAGAAACTTTTCAGAAGCTACGCCGAATACACACTTCTCTGGGTTGAGCTTCATCTTATATTTTCGTAGGGTGACGAACACTTCTTCTAGGTCGGATATGTGTTGCTCCACCTTCTCACTTTTTACAACCATGTCGTCCACATAGGACTTGACGTTCTTCCCTATCAAATCGGCAAAGACTTTTTTGATGAGCCTTTGATATGTCGCCCCAGCATTTTTCAACCCAAATGGCATCACTCTTTTCGACGCAAACTACCTCTTCCTTTGCTTAACAGGTTTGGCCTCTGGGCTGATATTGAGTCTATAGACGGCTACTTGTGGGTCTATCCCTGGCATATCCTCCACCTTCCATGCAAAAATATCAATGTTGCGGGACAGACAGTCGATGACTTCCTCCCAGAGGTTGGCCTTGAGATCCCGACCAATAGTAACGGCTCTCCCGTGCTCGAGCTTGACCATTTCCAACTTGTCAATGGGGGCTAATCTACCCCTTGGTTCGAGCTTGAGCTCGAGGTCTGCGAGTTGTATGACGTCAACACTCATTCATCGGATGCTAGTAACATAGTATTGTCTAGCAGCTGTTTGGTCTCCTCGAACTACTCCAATGCCATGACCTGTGGGGAACTTCATGGCCAGGTGGAAAGTTGACACGATAGCCTGGATCTTGTTTAGTAGGGGTCTTCCCAGAATGATGTTGTAGGCTATTGGGGTATTAACCACTTGGAATGGTGTGATCTTCGTCACTTATGTATTACCAGTTCCTAATGTAAGCGGGAGCTCGACGATGCCTTCAGGGATAATGACTCCGCCACCAAATCCCTGTAGGGGAGTTTTTACTGCTTTGAGCTGTTTGGGAGAGATCCCCATTTTGGCGAAAGCCTCCTGTGAGAGTATATTTGCTGCACTCCCATTATGAACCAGAATCCTCTTTACTTAGAAGTTAGCCACAACTGCAGAGACGACCAAGGCATCGTCATGAGGATATGATATTCCTTCCAAATCTCTTGCACCAAAAGTGATGGCTTTGACTTTATCACAGGATTCTCTTGGGGTATGAGCATGTTGGCGGGCATACTGCTTTCGCCCACTACTTGTGTCTCCGCCGGATGCTATGCCCCCAACGATAATATTAATGGTTCCGGCAGTGGGTTGAGCACTGCTTTTGGCCCCAGGCTCTTTTCGATTATCACGGTCATTCCTTGGCCGTTTATCATGACCAATGTAATTCTTTAAAAATTCTCTTTTGATAAAGGCTTCAATTTCTCGCTGTAAAGCACGACAATCCTCTGTAGTATGCCAATGATCCCAATGAAATTCGCAATACTTGCTCCTATCTTTTGTGTCAGGGGCCGACTTCATCCTTGAAGGTCACTTTAATTCTTTCATATCCTTAACCTCTATCAAGATGTTTGTCTTAGAGGTGTTCAACCGAGTGAGAGGTGCTGACGGTGCCTCATTCCTGCGCTTATCCCGGGGAAGCTCATGCCGGGGGAGGGGATGGGATCATGTTCCCTCTTGTTCTCGGTCTTTTCATGGGAAGGACCAGATCTCCTTGGATTTAGTGTTTCCTCCATATTAATGTATTTTTCAGCTCGGGTGAGGAGCTCGGTCACTGTTTACGACGGGGTCTTTGATAAAGACATCTTGAAAGCTTCACATCTTACGGCGTAAGTGAGGGCGGAGAGAGCTGCTGTGATGTGAAGGTCGGGTATTTGAAGCCTTTCCTTGTTGAACCTTGTCATAAATCCTCGTAGGGTTTCAGTTGGTCCCAGGCGAAGTTGCATGAGAGAGGCCGCGGTCTTCCTGATTTGTTTGCTACTTGCAAAGAAGGTTGAGAACTTATCAACCAAATCTGAGAATGCGGCTATGGAGTTGGGCTCCAATGTCGAGAACCAATCCCTAGCAGTATTAGTAAGCGTTTGTGGAAAGGCTTTGCACATAACCTGATCCAGCGCAACTTGCAAGTTTAAGACATTAGTGTATACATTGAGATGGTTGATGGGGTCGGTCCTCCCATCATACTCTTTAATGCGAGGATATTTGAATCTGTCGGGCAAGGGATATGACAATATCTCTGGCGTGAATGGAGTGTTAAGGGTGAAACCTGTTGGCCCCCGAGCATTTCGTTGCAGGCCAATTGTAATTCCTTCTTAAATGATCCAGGCAATTTTACCGAAATTCATAGCGACCAATCTTGACCCTTGGCCATATTGTGAATACCCGAGGTTCCTACTCCGCCAGTTGCGGGGTTTGGTGGTCGTGCTTAAGCATCGGCCATAAAATCGCCATGCTCCGCCTGCGCTGGCGACGGATGTGAATTTCTTTGACTTAAGAGTTGCGTGAGCGTGGCCACCTGCTGACGGAGCTCTTCGAAGGCTTCGGTTGTGATGATCGCTGGCAGAGGTGAGGGTAATCTTGACGATTCTTCATGGTGTGTCGGTTGATCTTCAGCAGGATGAGGGATGGGAGCGGATGAGCTTGCGGGAGGAAGACTTGATCGTGTGTTAGCCATGGCTTTTGGTAGCGTTTCCCACAGACGGCGCCAATGATGCTATCAAAAATCGTACCTGCAGATTTTCCGAGCTTGATGATTTGGATTGAGCACGATCGTAGTCTTTCAGTACTTGAAACAAAGGCAACAAGTTATGTTCTCGTCGCCCCTCCGATGCTTAAGTCAGAAAGGGAATTATATGCGTGAGGTTATAAACTGGAGAATAATGAAAACGTACCTGAATAATGGCTCAAGGTTCTGTATTTATAGTAGTAAGTCGACATTCTCCTAATGGGACTCAACTAATTGGGTATCTCTTTCCAACGGAGTCCTATTAGGCGAAGGAACTGGACCAATGCCATAATTATGTGTAGGATAGAATCCTTACGGGAGTCAAGTATATGGTTGAGTTAGAATCCTAATTGCATAGAAATTCTAAAGGGTCAACAATCGTAAGTTATGAGGAGAGTATATATGCTCGAGAACAAGTATCGTAACATGTTAAAGCAGCAAGACAGGGAGTGCTCGAGCATAATCCCTCGAGTTGAGTATATGCTCGAGCACTCCATATGTGGAATTGCAAGTTCATCCAAGATTTGTCGTCTAGATAAATGACCGAGCACTCAAGACCTGATATCATAAAAGGGTAGCGTACTCCTCAGGATAATATAGTGATCGGGTTATCCCGGAATGTCAGTATCAATGCTTGATTGTTATTTCTCTCTCTCTTTCTATGAAAGAATCTTCAAGGATGTGATACCTAGGTTCAAATTTAATTTCGTTAAACTGAATTATTCATTTCTTTTTCAAATTTTAAGGTGAACGGAATGCAAGCGATTCAGTATTTCATAAACTAAGACTCGAGCCTACAAACAGTTGTATACTAGATATGTGCCATCTAGTCTTGCCTAATCATTTTTGTGCAATTAAATTTTAAACTCTCATATGATATGGGTTTTGTTTGACATTTTACCCAGTAATATATCGAACTTTACGCGCTAAAAACTTTTTTTTATTGATTCTCCTCTATATACTATACACCATTTTCTTTTATTTTCTATGGCTATAGTTCCTAAAGGATGCATAACGTCTTTAACGAAATATTTCTTACGTTTTTATGATGTTTGGCTTTTGATGTTGGATGTTAGATACAAATTTGAACATCCAAAATTTCCATATATGGAATTCATTGCTTTGAACTCTGTTTCAATGGACGTCACGTGAAACTTAATGAACAACGTTTCCTCCCTTGAAAAGCTATTGACTTGAGGAGTGTATTTCATGTAGCTTATCTTTTCACGAGGACGAAGAAGAAAGATGTGGGTACAGAAGAAGCCGAGTCCCCCGATGTTCCTAGCACTCCTGTCTCAATTTCGGCCGCAATTGCTACAGTCACTGAGAAGTCACCTACTCCACCACCGGTCTTGGAGCCTGCAAAGTTGCATGCACCAATACCGGAGGATCAGCAACATGAATTATTCAAATGGATGTTGGAAGAGAGGAGGAGAGTGAAGCCAACAGATCCCGAAGAGAAAAAACGCATTGATGGAGAGAAAGCCATTCTCAAACAGTTCATTCGTACCAAGACCATTCCAAGCTTGTGATTTGTATAGCAGTTGACAGATTTAAAATCTCAAGTGAGATCTGAATTTGTTCCTTTACTTTTCTTTATGAAAAAAAATCAGTGAAGAAGTTTGCATCTTATTTTCCACAACGCGGGCATGATTGCTATGCGGCACTAGACATGACTCAAATTTAAAAAATGGACAAGAGTTTAACTTCTTTATTTTTCGTAAAATGTTGGTTGTTGCCTTGGGGGGACATTAGGAACGTTACTAGTTACTGGTATATAATATGAATGAACAATGTTGTCTAGTTCTACTGCCTATATGATATTAAGTGATGTCCAATTAAAGGTAATTATAAAATCCATTTAATAGGTCTAAATATTAATGCTGTTAGTGCTTAGACCGTTATTGACATTAATATTACTAAATAGCATTACTTTTTTGGCTACCACAATCAAACTTTTATCTTGTAGATTGACTAACTTAGGAACATTCTACAAATGTTTGAACATATTCGAGCCAAAATTTTGGACAGGTGATTTCAAAATTTCTGGTTTTTTTTTTTTTTTTTTTTTTTTTTTTTTTTTAAACCCAATCTTTTAATAAATTTTTCCAAAAAATTTTGAAAAAATTTTGGGCAAAAATTTTGGGGGGGGGTTTTAAAATTTTTTTTTTTTTTTTTTTTTTTTTTTTTTTTTTTTTTTTAAACCCAATGCTATCCATAAGTTGTACCAAACATGCTATTACTGTCTTGTCTTGTGCAAAAATGCCTTCCAATTTTTAGTCTGTCTCAACATTTCTCATTACGCTTGGAATTGGCTCTCAACACTTAAAAACTTTTTGTTTTTTTGGTTCTTTGTGGTTAAAGTTAGTTTTCTTGAAAATAAGTTGACGCTTTCTTGGAAAGTGACTTAAAAATAATGTTTGTCAAAATAAGTAACTTAGTTTGATATACATTTTAAGTTAGGTCAAACATGCTCGTTTGAGAAACGGGTGGTATATAGGGATTTTATAGCCTTGTCTATTTCACCTTCTTTATTTACTAAGAAAATGCATCCCATGCTTCTATATATCATTTAATTGATTTTTGATGAGTTCTTCTCGCGTGAAATTTTAGCTCTTGAACTCGGATTTTTCTTACTTACAAATGGAGTCCATTATTTAATATTTTTTTTCGAATCTATCGAACATTACATTTGTATGTTGCAGGAAAGGATCACAACCGTTGATGTCAATTTTCTTCTCGATTCTAATATGCATCATTTGCTTTAATTGAGCACAAGGATCTTTGTGAATTAGATATTCTAATTTTTGTTCGAGTTAGTTTCAACTGCTTGTGGTTGCTGTACTGATGCCATTGTCATCCCCACCAGGGCCGGACCTGTGTTTTGCAAGGCCTGAGGCGAAATTCAAATTTTGGGCCCATAAATCATAGCAAGAAATTAATTTTTTTTCATTTATAAGAGATTTAAGGAATTAAATTTGTCAACATAAAATCAAAAAAATGAAATATTTAAAATATGTATATTATAATCGAATAACAACGTGAAAATGTTCTAAAATATCACTTAAATACAACTCGTCTTGCAGTTTTCGAGGCAAAAATATCGATCAATTTTGTATAGTCGAGTTGTTCAACCATTTCTTTTTCAATTGATAACATGGCTAATCCATTCAATCTTTGCTGTGACATAGTTGATCGGATATAAGTCTTGATCAATTTCAACTTGGAAAAACTTCTTTCTGCTGATGCAACTGTAACCGGGATGGTGAGCAAAATCTTGTAAGCAATGCAAGCATTCGGAAAACAACCATTCATTTTCTTCAAGTAATGTAGCACATCAATTGCTCTTTTTATTTCGCTAGTTAAATAGCACCTCAAGACGATCAACTCCGAACATAAATCATCACCTATAATGTCTGAATGTCCATTATGTTCTAAATACTGCTCAATATTCATACAAGATTTCAGCAAACTGTCAACTGGCATACTCTTTAATCTATCCATGTTAAACAAAAATCCAAATATCTCTTCATAATGTGTAAATTGTTCAAAACGAGTTTGAAGTGATGATCTAGCTTGATCAATTATAAAGAGAAAATACTCAACTCTAAAAGAATCTTCAGCCGAGTATGTTACCTCTTCAGTGCCACTTTCATCGAATTGTTTCTTTCTTCGAATGCTACGT